GCTGCCCTGCCTGTCCCCTTTAGTGTGCATTTGTGGCTCCTGAAGGCAGCATCGACACCCCTGTAACCGCGGGTGACACGTGGCTCTCGTGTCCAGCGGACTGCTTCCCAGCAGCTTTGAAATGTTCTTACTCTGGCGCACAGCGCAACTCAGGTCACAAATCTACTCATCTTCATGGCATTCCTTAAACGTCCCGAAGCCCAAACCTGGCTACAAAAGTCACCAGGTTTAGTCACCAAGCTTATGCACTAATTTTAGAATGACAACAAGAAGATTAAGTTAAAAAGAGTTTTTGAAAAAGCAAACTCTTCATTTTAATGCTGGCATGAATTTTGCACATCAAACAGCAACTATACACACCCAAATCTCTCAAATATGGGCAGTGTTTATCGCTTTTTACTAGTACCTGCTTTACTTGGTGAGCAATAGCCTACTGATGGATATATGTGTATCTATAAGTAACAGTACTAATCCATGAAACATCACTTTTGGCTATATGCATATGGGGACAGAAAAGCTTTGGTAATTGTACATGATTTTACACTGCAGACTTGCCATTAACACAAGACAGCAAGTTACCAGCAAGAGGAAATGATACTGGTGGTAATACTTCTGCTTTTCCAGAAACACCACAGGGACTTACATTCAAGCACACACATTATGCTTTTCTATATGCGCAACAAAGACTTTCAAGATTTAAAAAGTAAGAAATCAGTTATAACTGTAGATCTGACCAATTTACTCAGGTCTCTGAAGCTGCAGTTAGACATCGCTCTACGCTGTCCCAAAGAATGGCTTGCTCTACGCTGTCCCAAAGAATGGCTTGCTGTACTGTACTACGCTGTACCTACAGGTGCTATGAGGCTTTCAGTCAAGACAAGGGCAAGACTAGGACTATCTGAAAGGCACAGGAAAGAATTTCATGGGCGTGATGCCAGCTTCACTGAGGAATCTGTTCATTTGCTTAGACACATCGTATTCCTGGGTGCTGAAAGCAAACAGCTTTCGATGCAGTACTGTGTTTGCAACTGTACCGACTGTCACTTCGAGTCCACTAAGAACTCTGCTGTGGTCTCTACAGCACACCCGGAGTCCAGCACCCAGAGCCAGGAAGCTAAATCTTGGCTCTAACGGTATTTCTGAGTGCAGAAAAGTCCTTTTTCTGGTATGCGCATCAGTGTACCATCACCAAAAAGCAAATGCAAAATCTGTATGAGCACAGGAAACCCTCTGGAAGTGCTTCAAAAATGACTTCTTAAAAATTCTGAATTTAAATGTCTGCTGCAGAGTAACACTCGAAGACTGCTTTGGTGACATGGAATTGTATGACATATTTCAATATGGTGTTCAAATACAAACAAAATTAAGGCATATAGATAAAAAGGCACTAGCTAAAAAAAAACAAATAACTTTTCATTTTGTTGTACTGAAAAGACTGTTTTAGTTACAAATCGAATTGCAAATCAAGTTAAAACTTTAGGACTATATTTGAACTGTCAAGGAAAAAAAAGTCTATGTAGATTTAGCTTTGCGGCTATTAGATCCACACGTTTTTAAATCCTTGCATGGATATTTCTATCACCTGAATTAAAAACAAACAACTTGCTTTAATACAACTGAAACTTCCAGTCACTCTCTAACAGACCCGCTTGTTACACCATTAAAGCCACACTCCAGAAGTAGCTTAACTTTTGTTACTTAACACGTGCAACAGACAGAATAATAAAATTCATTAACAGGTAAGTCAGTCCTTTAAAAATAGACATTCTCACTGTGAACCTCGATCTCTGTATTTTGAGAGCATAGCTTCATCGTAGCATTTACAGAAAAGCAAACCAACCCTGCAATGATATTGTTTTCATTGGCATTTCCCAGCCATTGGATTCAAACATTAAGAATAATTCACGATTCCACAACACTACCTTTGTTAGTAAGACACGAGAAGTTGTGAGCAGGGATCTTGGCTCTGCAACCCCCCTCCAATGGAGGTTTAAGTATCCAATTCCATGTGCCCTCTCAAATTCTAGAACTAGGGTTTATCATCACATCAGTAGTCAATATAAGTGTTTTACAGACATCGTATATAGAGGTACTACATTACTTAATGCAGCTTCTTTTACTTCATTACCCCAATAGGAGATAAATACTAACTAACCTTTTGGTAAAAGTCTGATTTAGCTTTGTAATTATTTCTAGCTCAAAACATTTATGTTAATAACCATCTAATTTACGGCAAGTTGCTTAAGTCAGTAGGCAAATTCTCCATAGGGTGAAAAAAAAACCAAAACCAAAACCAGCTCAAGCCTAATCTTGGTTAAATTCATAAAATTTTACTAGAATCACTGGAACTGGCAAATGTTTTCATTTAAGAAGCACTGTCTTTACATTGGCAGCTGTCTGATACGTCAAAGAAATTAAGGAAAATGCACTCTGCAAATTCTTTTTTCCTGGCTCCAAAAATGCTTACGGTTGTCATGACTGAATGCCACTTTTCAGAAAAGGCACAAAAGCAGCAAACTTGATTATTCAGTAATTAGAAATCACAATGAGGAAGTAATATTGCAATACACGAGCCAGCACTCTCACAAAAAAAGGATACATTATAAGAAAACTAGGTTCTGAAAAATTTCAAGCTTCAGAGAGTGCAGTTTCTTCCTAGAGTAGTATTTTTAAATGTTATGAATGCTACAGATAAACCTGGTTACATTTTCCCTTTAATGTCCTTTTTTGGTAATATAAAATTTCCTTATCTTTTCAGATATCACTGTCCACTACTGATTTTTATATACATTTTCACCTTGGTTTTGGTACCTTCTTAATCTGTTTGAAATCAATCATTTCAATTACATGATCTTTAAATTACCTACATAAACTACTAGGCTCTACATTAAACTTCCCATCCTTGCTGTCACTAAATTTTGCTTATAAATTAAAGGTCCTTTACAGCAGAGTACATACCAATTCTTAAAGGCTGCCTTCGTAGCTTTCATCTAGTGACACAGAAGCAAAAAAAGAACGTCAGCACAAGATGACTTCCTTTTCAGCCTTCTAAACTTTCCCTGGTCTGACTGGTCCTTCTCATGCTCAGAAAACCTTGCACAGTTTTGTACCCTGACTGAGAAAATTTTAATTTGGGTAAAAACACACATAAACTGAAGAAGCCATCACTCTTAGACACAGGAGAGATGGCCTCAAAAAAAAAAAAAAATCATTCTTAGTCCACTACAGGTAAAGCGATTAGGATAGACCAATACTCCTTATGCTCTGGCACAAAATTTGAAGTTAGCAGAATAAATTCAGGTATCTCATGAGTGAACTACCAGGGGAATGGGTAAGCTTATTGTTCTATCTCCATGCACTTCATAATTCTGATAGTCCTCTAAAGATGCAAAACAGGGAGAGTCTTGTCAGAGTGGACAAGGTTCACAGAACCAGCCCGCTCTGCCTTTATAAAACAACAAAAGCAAGCAATGAATCATCCAAACCAGTATATATTAATTATTTCAGTTCTGTAGTCCAAAAGTTTATTTCCAAATGCCCTTTTCAATTATTTATGTTGTGAGAAGTCAAGTTATTCACTACACCTGATCAGTACCTGGACTTCTCGACTGAGAAGCAGTATTTCAGAGTTTTACTTTTGTAAATAAATACTCTTTTCAGAAATGGGAAAAGTGATTAACGTACCTTTTGTGACAGTTAGAAATCTGACAAACCCCCATCATTTGGATTATCAGGCTGGAGTAATCATGCTCATGTTATTTAATTGCTGGCTCTCTTTGCGCTTTTGACCTATTCTTCATACAATCTTTTGCGCTGCGCCTCCTTGTTCATGTGGATTCATCATCGCTACCTTACTAAATATATAACTGGAGTTTTATCTTTCTCAGCGACTTACTCCTGGTGTTAAAAGATACTTAACTTCATTTCAGGAATTTTCAACACATCCTAGATGACTGAACTGTGTTACTAAAACAATTTTTTTAGTGCATAATGGGAAGAATTTTTTATTATTCAGGCACTTGATGTTGACATACATTCCATCCTAGCGCCTCTCGACAGCTTTGAAAACATTTCTTACAGCTCATTCTGAATCAAGTAACTCATATACTGCACAAGTATTAGTCGCCTCCCTTCCCCTCCAGCCATTCATGGGACTGTGGAGGAGAACTGATACTCAACATCACTATTTTTTCTTATCTAAGATAACCACCCCCCTCCCAGCTTATGCAACAGAAGTTCTCTTTGGCAGATACAGCAGGAGGGATTCTGCTACTTACATCCAATGGCTGGCCCTTGTCTATTATGGAAGTTTTCCCCGTGCACTATAGTAGTTTCTAGGAGTCTGGGTCCATAATCTGTTTACCTGTAATTTGTAATAATTTTCCTATTAAGATAATACAACAGTTCTACACCAAAACCTCTATAACTAGTACATCAGTGTTGAGCTCTTTTTCGTTATTTTCTTTTGGTCACATAGAAGTACCGGTTAGACAACACTGCTATACAAAGAGTTCCAAGTTCTTCAGCTTTATCATTAACTCTCAGAACTGTGTGTTCCAGGTTAAACTGCAAAATCCAGAAACTGCTTAAAACACTAAAATATAGTAAGAACTTAGAACTCTCTGCCACAAGTACCTACAATATAAAGAAGAATCACAGAGAAGTAACCTTCTTGTCTTTTAGCTGCATGTCTGTTTTTCCCTGCACCCTGAGTCAGTCAGCGGTGTCAGAAAAAGTCACACAGTTCCTGACTGTCCAAGCATTTGTCTTTTTTTTTTTTCCCCCCCTTTAAATAAGGAACAAATATGTACTAAAGTGCTTTATCTACATGAACCACATCAGTACATTATAGAAACAAAAAGTTCTAGTCCCTGTGGGAGCGAGGGAGAGAAGATTCTCATTTTAGATACAAAATTTAGATTGTTTACAATCTAAGTGAAACAAAGATTCAAGAGAATATTCTCTCTCTTGTCTTTTTTCTCCTTTTTTTTGTAAAAAATAAAAATAAAAGTGCAGTCAAATAGAAAATAAATGCAGTAGATGCAAGCTGAGTTGAGGCAGGCTGTTAGTGATAGTGTGCAAACGTGTGTCTTAGCAGTTCATCTGCAAACGGTCGCAGCTTGGCCTCGATAAAAATCCGTTTCAAGAAATCCCGCGCATGGTCGGAGACGTGAGGTGGTAGCTGGGGGTTGGTTGGCTGAGTGGCAATTTTAAAGATGGCAGCCATTGCTTCGAACTCTGCCCACGGAGGCTTCTCAGTGAGCATTTCTACCACTGTACAACCTACGCTCCTGAAACAGAGGCAGAAGTGAAACAGCAGGTTACAACAGAGTCAGCCCTTCTAGGAAAACAAGAAACAGCAGAGAGCGACTGACATCACAAACAAAAGCGTCCGCTTCACTCTGTGGAGGAGCTGCAGCAGAAATCAGGCGTTTAAACAAGTTGCATGTACAGCTGTATGCTTTACTTCCAAGTCACACAAATCACTGCCGACACCTGCGCTTTATTACTTCGCTGGGCCAAAAGCCGCTACTTCAGCGAAGAGATAATTAGATGTTTGAGCAACACCAACCGCCTCACGGCACTGCCGCCACTCAGTACTCAGCAGGCTGATGCAGGCCATGAGCTCCTCAGACACCTGCAGGACCTGAATGCTTCAAAAGCTTTCTCGCTCATCCAGGCCTAACGGAAATGCAAAGCGACAGGAATGCTTTGAGTACTCTGCACACATTGCTAGCTCATCAGAGATGCACAAGTTATCACCAATGAATAATGTGGAAACATAACACGGCAGTTGAAAAGTTTAAAACCATACTGCAGCGGTATCTTCCTCTTTTACTTAAGGATACTAAAAATATACTTAAATTGCCTAACAAAATTTTAAGATCCTAAACAATCTTCATATACAAAGTTTATGTTTAAAGGATTTAGGAAAGCAGCAGGGCACACAATATGGCCAGAAAAACTATGTTCCGTAAGTCCTGCAAGATCATCTCTTCCAATAACAAGTGAATGATGCTGCAAAAACGATAGGCTGGAAAAAAAGTCCCAATTTTCAGTAAGTTTTATGGTTTTTCAGGACGCTAGCAAGAAGTTCTATGGTTAGACAGAGATATGCTTCTTTATACAATAAGGATTTACTGACTTGCAGAAATCAATCTTCAGTATTTTTTCTTAGCTTTAACCAGAATTTTCTCCATCAAAAAAACATGTATTAGCCTCAGTACAAACACTTCAAAACTGAACCAGTCAACTGCCTGAAATCTATAAGGCTGTTCTATGATTCAAGTATATAGCAGCCTTCCAGTACTTAAAGGGGGCCTACAGGAAAGCTGGAGAGGGACTTTTTCCAAGGGCGTGTAGTGATAGGAAAAGGGGCAATAGATTTAAATTGAAAGAGGGCAGATTTAGACTAGATATAAGGAAGAAATTTTTCACTCAGAGGGTAGTGAGGCACTGGAACAGGTTGCCCTGAGAAGTTGTAGATGCCCCATCCCTGGACATGTTCAAGGCCAGGTTGGGTGAGGCTTTGGACAAGCTGGCGTAGTAGAGGGTTTCCCTGCCCATGGCAGGGCGGTTGGAACTAGATGATCTTTGAGGTCCCTTCCAACTCTAACCATTCTATGATTCTATAGCAGTATAATTACTAAGTGATCTGAAGTAGGGTAAATCAATTTCCCTGACATTAGAAGTTTTGCCGCCGGTTGGATGTAATGTGGCTCCTTTTCAAACACACACAGCGTTACTACTGCTGCGTATCTACTGTTGCCTACCTACTACTCTGTGTTCACAGACCACCTGCAGTGCAAGGAGTCTGATCGCTAAAATCATCTGTCCGTTGGGCTGGAGCTATGTTAGACTATGTCATATTACGCGATGTATTACAAACGTTCGTTTTTTGAAATTTACCTTTCCCTCTTAATTCTTAAGTATTTAATAAAAACTTAAACCAAATTATTTTTTGATATCCCCTACTTAAATCTGGCTAATTCATTCTTATGTGCTCACCTTTTAAAGGACCACCATTTCATTTTCTGCCTTGTATCAAAAGGTATTTCAGTTATAAAGTTTCATTACAGGACATTGACTTAGCTGATGCTTCAAAGCTTCACAAATTGCTTTCATCCAGTACCTTTCCAGGATTTACAAACAGTCTGGTAATCCTAACTTCATGCAAAGTCATTTCAAAGGATTCTCTTATGATCCCTAAATCGATGGGCTGACGAATTGCCAAATAAAAAATTCTCAAATATGACTGTCAGTGCTTACACTTGCCACCTTCTTCAGCTTACACCCCAGAACAAAACACTCCAACTTCAGACAACACCTCTTACGCTCTGTTGAAAAAGAGCCTATTCTGACACAGCATCTTTCAAGCAGGGAAGTTTTTTTAACATACCAGATATCCGCTTTTCTGCCATACCCTTCTCCACTAATAACTTCTGGACTCATCCAGTATGGAGTTCCTGTGACAGACTTCATTCCTGTACCAGAGAGACATATCGTCTGCAGTCGTTTGCTGGCACCAAAGTCACCGAGCTTCACATTGCCTGCTGAATCTCGCAGAATATTTGCTCCTGGAAAGAAGGGAACACAGCACTATATTCATGAAAGGCTCGTTAGCATTTTGGTGTTGAAAATGACAACAGAAGTTTGGATTCAGTGATACAATGCAAGATCAGCCTAGTATTTCAAGCCAGAGAATGTACTTTCTCTGCTCGTTCCTTTTACTTTATGTCCAAGGTTCATAAAACAATGAATTGTATACATTGGTTTGCATCCTAGGCCTTTTCCGGGAAGATCCAGTCACTTGGTAAAGCCTTCCTGACAAAATAAGCAATGTGTCATACAAAGGAAATAAAAAGAAACGGGAAAGAAGTTTCCACACAACTGAAAATGTCTTCATACTATGTTAAAGTAAAATCTCAAGCTGTGTTACAGATTTGTTCGAAACACTTATCTGCATAAGCATGTATAAATTGACCATGATACCTCAACCTCTTTTGGAACAAATCGCTATTGATAGAAAGCAACAAGAAAATTGTAAAAGTTTTAGGGAATACAACAGCGTTGTATTCAACACGCCTATTTTGCACATCACCATCTTCCTACATATTCATAAGCTGCTTATGCAGGACTTGCAAGTCACCTTTATCTATCTGCAAAAAGTAAATATGTCTGTTTCCTCAGGGTTCCTGGCAGTAAAATGGAAGAAGTCAGAGTCATCTGATCAGGCAAGTCACCTCTGCCAGTCATGTCTTGCACCAGTGAAGTGCTGGGTAATTTCTATGTAACTGATAGAAACAAAACTTGAAAAATAAACTTTTGAGTCATGATGTTTTCCTCTGCACATTCTATCTATTTGTAATGACATCATCCTTTGATACATTCTTAACTATTAATATTAAAACAAAATCAGAAAGAAATTTATCATAATTGTTTTGCAGACAGAGGCTACCGAAACATTTTCAGAAACCTGCTAGAACATCACAAAGATGCTTATTTTTCGCCCCTTGAGTTACAATAGTAGCAGGAATAAGTGCTGGAAAGCAATCTCACTAACTTTAAGTCAGTATTTTGGCTTTTCAAACTTGATTACATTTTAGTGCTTCACACAAGACAAGAATTTGTAGTAAAGAGCACTGAACTGTGCACAGAACTATCAATACCTTTAATATCCCGATGGACAATCATATTACTGTGCAGATAGTGGACACCTTCCAAAATCTGGCGTGTATATTTACGAGTCACGTTCTCTGTAAGTGCTCCATATGATTTCAATTGGTCTTTGATGGAACCCTATGGCAAACAAGAAACACAAAACACTAACATTTCTAGAACCACAAGTGGGCTAATAACATAGTTGAACTTCAATGAAATTTGTGCCTGAAATGTAGACATTTAAAGTTGCAATACTTATCTAGATCAACTTTAAAGCACAGATATAGTTTTACCCCCACTGAGAAAAATACAAACTTTGACAAAAAAGAGGCTGGACAGAGAAGTCATATATTGAAATGTTAAGCTATTAACTTTAAAACTGTCAAGCAGGTGAATAGTTCCAGTGTCATGTACAGGAAAAGAGAACATCAGTATTTTCACTTAAACACCACTCTCAACTTTTTTTATGGTTAAATTGTGATACTCAAGTTGGACGAAACACATGCCATTTACCCTGGTTAGTTTATACTCAGAAAAAAACCCAAACCATTGTCAAGAAAAAAACACCACATGCTGGAGGATTGTGCTTTACATACAAATTAAGAGGTAAGCAAGTCTTGGCTTGAAAATGACATTAAATCAAAAATTCATGGTTTTGTAACTATTTCTGTATAACTCGGCTTTGTCACACAGAGTTACAAACCACTTAGATTGCTTCTGTGACACTGTCCTCCAAATCTCAGAGACATTCAAGGAGCCACTCAAAGCCCAGAACTCACATCTGAAAAACAAAAACCAAACAAACCACCACCACCACCACAAAAACCCCACACCACTTCTCTTTTCTGGAGTCTCACAGCGAAGCAGAATGCTGTAGCTATTCAGAAATACAGAGCCTGTTTTTATACAAGCACATTTCATTTAGCTCTGCTGACCTCACTTGGTGAGAAAATGAAAGTCTCCAGTTTTCTGACCTTCTAATATTTCCTAACAAAAGAGTAGGAGCAGAAGAACAGTTCGGCATGTATCTAAGTGCCACACAAAAAACAAGCACCAAGATTATTTTCTGTAGGCACTTACTCCCACACCCATCTTAGCTACTTTTTGTTTTCTCAAAATAACTGAGCAGTTGAGATGCTGAGTACTCAACAGCACAAGCCGAAGTGCAGCAAAAAGAAACATTAAAATTCAGGAAGATTCAAGAGTTTGCTAATGATAATATTGTCTTTTCAAAGACGTTGCCAGGCACTTCTTATGCCAAAATCAAACACAAATGAGTTTTGTACAAGCCACTAATTCTGAAAACAAACAAACAATGGAGAAGATAGGCTCCTGTCAGCATTTCTCAGTAGCCATCTCTGGCTACTGTTCTTAACTTGGACATTTTTTTTTTAACATCTGTGTGAACTTCTGCAAAAGCTTTCTACTTGGGTGCTCATCATGCTGTCTAGAAACTATGGTTAAAGTCGACTGGTGCTCTCGCTTACCCCAGGCATGTATTCCATGAATATAGAGAGAGTTCTTTCTGGCGGATCTCTCAAGAAGCCATAATACTGAACAATTCTTTCATGCAGTAGATTTTTCAGCAACTGAATCTCACATTCAAGTGCATTTACTTCCTAAAAGGAAAAAACAGACAAGATGTACCATACTTGACGTACAAATAATAACGTTTTGGACTGGGATTTTTTTAAAGCAGGACAGCATGTACATATTGAAGGGTTATGTAAACTAAGTAACAAAATACTCTTGTAGCTTCTGTAAAAGTTTATACATTTTATAACAAGAAAAAATCACCATTAGATTGAGAGAAGTAAAAAAAACCTATGGCTTTTCTATAAATTGACTTTGGGATGATTTTGCTGTTATTTCATTGTTTCTTTTATTTTGAAGTTTTGTTTGTTTCAGAACACAGCAGATATCAATATGCGCTCCAATTGCGTTAAAAGAAAAAAAAAACAACCACAAATTAAATCTTTGTAGTGAATGAATTCTTAACTTTTCCAGGATGACAGACCTTGCTTTTAAAATGCCTTTGAGGACCACTTCATATAGCAACAATGAAATACAACGAAGGAAAACATCAACAGACATCGTGCTTTCTCTAGAGCTATCTGAAATACTAAAAATTTTGCAAACAGGAAGTAAGACATTTTGAAATAGTCTGTACATTAAAATGCTGGAAAAATACTAACCCATGAATTCAAACTTCACTGGATTCCAATTGGAATCCAATTCCACTGGATTTTTGACACTGAGAGGCACACACTACAAAACGCTATGGCAAGTGAGGTCACAAAACTGTTGCTACAGGAGAGACTACAGTATTTTATATTTAACGTTTCCAAAACAATCAGCTGTTTTGTTACATTTTAAAGAAGTAGCAACAACAACTACACTAGAAATCTACAGCACAAATGATTCTTGTCTTTTTCCTTTGATCCTACATCACTAGTAGCAGCAACTATAACTGGTAGTCACCCAACTCTGCAATCATGCTTACACCCATTGTTTCCCCGGCCTTGCTCCCCACAGTGCAGAACGCAGTCTTAATGCAGGAAAAGTAATAATTCTTTTTCCATCCTGTAAAAAGCAGCAAGTATGGTTTGGGAAAAAAGAAATAGATCGGTGCTACTTTTAAATAGTTTCTCTCCTCAAGTATCCAGTATTTAAAGAAGATCAAGTTCAATTTTAGAGAGAGAATAAACCGACAATGAAACTTTTGCTCTTCAGAGAGAGACATAGTGAATAACAGTAGCTAGCCCTGATGCCCAAAGTCTTACCAAACAACCCCCCAAAAGTCCCCCCAAAAGATTAAAAAAAGAGAAGAATCTCAAGCTGTCTTCATAGCCAAACAAAATATCCTTGAGAATTTATTTTCAGGAACACTTAGGTTAGTACAGATTTTTCTGTTTAAGTGGAACTTTTTCTAATTCCTCTAAGTATAAATAATTATTTATTTCAGAGCACACTTCATAATGGATTGTTTCATTTTAGAGACTGAGATCACACCAAATTCAGTTACGTATGTACCTGGCATAAGGGTGTGTCTAAAAATGAAAAAATGGGATGTAACATTAAAACCAGGTAGCCAAACTAACCCTCTGAGGTACTAAAAAAAGCCAGGATTACTAATAAGGATATGAAAACCCAACGTGTTTTAAAACATCATCCTGTTCAGGGAAAGGAACATTCGTCTAGTCTAGAACACCCTACTTCAGCAGAAGCCCTTTATAAACTCTCTCTTTGGTATCACTTACCTTGCTGGTTTCTGGACTATCAGGATCAAACTGAACTTGTTTAACAGCCAGTTCTCTTCCGGTATCAGCATCGTAACACAGATATACTCTGCCAAATGCACCTTGACCCAGCAGTTTACCAAGCCTCCAGTTAGTTGGAGCTCGCGGTGCTGAAAATATAAGCATGTTTTGGTTTTCAAATGAGCTTGTTATTCAGCTGATAGAGAAAAACTGTAATACACAGAAAATAGTTTTTTAAAAGACTACGTTTTTCAACAGAGACTGTGTGTCGTATACCTTACCATGTAAGCTACAAAGATCAATAAAACTTCTGTAAGAAGAAACACATGAGCTACTTAAACTTCTTCACAAAATCATTTGTTGTAGAGATAGAGATACTTAAACCAACTAGCAACAGCAAATATGAAAGACAGAAAAAGCATGTTAAACAAACTTAGTAACATTTTTTTAAAAAACTCGAGCCATGATTAAAATGTACCAGATACTGAACTCACAACAAAGTATATTTGCTCCTGAAATGCCACCACAGATGTAAAACAGTACCACTTAAGGTCTGCAACTTATCAGAAAACTTGACCAACATCTGCAAAAATAAATAGTTACCGCAACCTACATAGCCTTTCGAGTCCTCAAGAATCTAACAAATTATCAAAAGCATTTTTACAGTGTTTTGTTATCACAGATCCAAATTCCATGTGAAAACCTACATGCAGGTTGGCACAGTAAGTAATGAAAAAATGGATTAAGCATACAGCCTTGACTTTTTCCTATTAGAGATACAAGCATATTTACTCAATTCCATGTATTTTGATGACACGCTTAGTTTCGACATGATATACTTGAAAGATAAGAGTTTTACAGTGGAGTCCACAAAAATGCCTTAACTTACAGCGACTAGGTGGGCTGATGTCCATGACTGACAAGGTAGGATTGTCTATGTCACTTCCCCTTCTCCTCATTCGGTTATCTTCGTATTCCGGTGTAAAGACGCTGCTTCCGCTACTGGTGCTCAGTGAGTGATCAGTGGGACTGAAACTAACTGGTGATCGGAAGCTGTTCCCCTGAGTCCTTCTGGCTCTTGGAAAAGTTTTACGACCTTCAATGATATACAAAGAATGCTAATGTTACACTACAAAAAATACTGCTATACAATGTGTGTATGCAAATACTTTATGAATTCCACATAGTTCAAAACCTTCCACAGTGTATGATACGATGTAATGATCATGGAATTTACTGGTTTAACTTCCCACCTAGAAGAAAACAAACATTCATCACAGATATATGTAAGGATTAGACTGAATCAAAAACTGGTTTATGTTTAAGTGACCCAAACTGGGACAAAATTCTGGAACCATTCTGAAATTTAATTGACATTAATTCAGAAACCTGGATGGCTGTGAGAGGGGAAAGGAAAATGCCCTGCCTCTACTTTATTGCTCTATTAAGGTGTAACTATCAAATTTCAGATAATTAGGAGAGTGAGAGATATGTTTACACTCCAGTGGTATGCCCAGGCTGGCATCTTCATCCTGTAAACTAATAACAATTGAATGCAGAGAAAGACCTACACATGCAATCATCAGGAAGACTACAAAAAATATTAAAAAAAATTTTAAAACAAAAATCAAAAGCAATGCATAATTCAGAGATGGCTACACTATTAGAATAAAAAAAAGGGGGCATTGATCTTCACAAAGGTAAACTACAACCAGATGACAAACCCAATTCATGTTAATATATTTAGATAACATGAACATTTTTAGGTCAGCCCAGCTTGATGAAGTTTCATCCTACAGAACTCATAGAAGTAGCTGAAGGAGTCTCTGATTCATTAGGTATTCCACTGGAGAAGGAATTCCCAGGGGACTGAAGAAGATGAAATATCTTTGAAAAAGGGACTCAGATTTATATACTAGTCTTGCCAATTTAAATTCCAAGACATGTAAACAAATTATTAAGCAGTTTTATAAGCCACTGAGAAGATAATAAGGTGATAAATCAGCCATAACTGGTTTGTCACATGTAGCTAATCCAATTTCCCCACTTCATCAGGACATTCTCATAAGCTAACTAGCAAAGAAGCTGCACAGACCAGCTTACTACGTAGGAGTATGCCCAGGACAGATTCAGAGCAGTTATCAGAGATTTCTCATCAAAGGGGAGGATAATTTAAGGGGACATCCACAGCAGTTTACCTTCAGTTGACTTCCATACACTAATTTAACTGACAAGGTATATACGATGGAACATAATACACTGAAATATTGCAGGTGACATCATGTTAAGTGTGGCTGGAAGTTCGTTTAAAGATAAAAATCAAAATTCACGATGATATTAGTAAGTTGGAGATGATTCAGAAATCAACAAAACCAAATTCAGTAAGGGAGTACAACATAAACACTCAAAGAGAAATCAAATGCAGAAACCACAAAGTGGGAAGTAATTGTTCGGCTGAAAGTCATGTAACACGACTGTTCCATACTGAGCTATGATTATATCCTATGTTATACATAAAGTGGCCATGAGAGAAGCCTCAGTTAGAGTACTCTATCGACTTCTGGCCACTACAAGAATGGAGAAGAGACCAGAAAAAAACATGGAGCTTGCAAAAACGTCTGAGGTAAGGCTTAAGGCTTGAAAGAAAAAAACTAAGGAGAGAACAGAAGATGTGTGTGATGTAGTGTTACAAGGGTAGTGACCAATTTTTCACTGTGTTAAAATGAAGTAACTACTTACTAGTTTCATTTGCAGGAAAAATGATTTAGAAGACAGAGAAAAGTAAGTTATAAGAAAAGCTATCTTCGAAGTTAGTTACGTAAAAAAAATGAGTATCTCTTCTCTTAAAGTCAATTTAGAGTTTACTTAAAAGTCAGTGTGACAGATCTTTGCCTCTTTAATCTTGCCTTAGAGCAAGGCACCGGGCCGAAGCTGCCTTGTAGTCCTTCAATTTGATATTTTTGTCATTTCTGTAACAGAATTCCATTTATTGCTGTGCTTGTTCCATACTGCAAATGAAACGACCTGGTCTCTGGAGAAGTTTCTTCTTAACACTTCTCAACTAGTGTTTGGCACACCCTCAAGCCAAGAGAATCCTTCAGCTGCTCCTCTCTTCTTCCTTTCGAAATGTAACATGTGTTAAATTTACATCAATGTTCTTACTGTCCAAATCAGTTTTGTGGCCACATCAGCAGGTGCTGTCTTGCATTCCAACAATTGATTTCACCAGCTAATTCTTGGTTTAAATCACTGCTCTTCAATTTTATTTACTCTTTTAATCAGAGAAACTGTTAATATGAACTCCAGTCTACTTGTGGGGTTTTTTTTGTTGTTGGTTTTGTTATTTTTTTTTTTTAAGCAAAACAAGAAATGACAAAGTGATATACCTACTTTGGATACAAAAGGGTTACAAAGGTCAAGAGCTTACACTGGATGACTCATGCAAGGCCAAAGATAGAGAATATTTTCATAGCTGAGCATATGAGTCATGAATTCTGTAATCTGTAACTTTACCAGAGGTAAGACTGCTCAGCAGCTCTATCAATCATCAGAAGTTTAGCAACTGATTTTGTGGAAAAAAGTTAAGCTTTCAATTTCCTCATTAAGATTTTACGATCTAAATTTTCTTCGTCACTTTTTAACAAGAGAAAAACAGATTAATAAAGTAGATCTCTTGCAGCAATCACACTTACCGTCATTGTAGTCTTGTTGATGATATGAAATATGGTATCTCCGGGGATAAGTCCCCCCTTTTCCAAATTTCTCAAATATTGGGATATCATACTCTACTAAAAAATAAAAAGATACATTTCAAAATTTAAAATGTGACAAAAGCGTAATAAATTAATCAGTCTGGTATTATAAACTTAAACATGGGGGAACATCAGACGATACACTTCAAGTTGAAGCATCAGAACAGAAAAGATTATAGAACAAAAGCCACAAACCTAACAAATCACAAAGACTAAAAGGACATTCAGCCAAAAGTTCCAAAGGATCAAGAATTCAATAGCTCAAGTGGTTTGTAACCTCCTGCTTAAAAGAATGTCAGAGGACTGCAGCATACCTAATTACTCCAGTTTTAAAAATAGCTTCTAGAGGAATTCTGGGAACAACAGTTCACCAGGAAAACTGGCAGAAACTATTACAAAGAGATTTTAAGATGCATAAATATGAAAAACTGGCAAATCAGTTACAACAGCTTGAATTACTAAAATGCATTCAACAGGTCCTCTTTTAAAAAGTATTTGTAAGATAAAGCAAAAAGTCTCTCATGCATAAATAATTGGTTAGAAGACAAGTACATAAGATAGGAGTAAATGGTCAACAGTTCCACAGGAATCTGGGCTAAAACTCATGTAGTTTAATTATGCATGAATTCTCTGGACAGAACAATGAATGGTGAGGTGACAAAATCATTTGGCAAAATAAAGCCAACAGAAGAAGGACGGAAAGCCCTTAAAAGAGTCTACGTGACTGGATGTTAAAGTGGCACACAAAACTCAATGCAGGCTGGTGCAAAGGATTGTGATAAAGAGTTCCAATAAAACAGCAGCTGAACTCTCGGTACTGGTTAAGAAGCAAATTAAATGCTATAAACTGTTAAGATATACCGAACGAAGTTTCGCCTACTCCATTTCCAAGGATTTAGTAAAAGTGGGAAAGATTTACAGTACAGAGATGATCAAAGATACAAAATTGCTTCTCCATAAGGAATGGAGGCCTCTACAGACTAGGAAAGCAACAGCTCAAAGGGAGACAAAGAGGTCTATTAAAAAAAAAAAAAAATCACAAAGGCCATGCTTCTTCATAAAACACAGTAAGTTGCACAACTTCTTGTGACAACATGTTGTTGATACTGAAAAAGTTTATACAAGTTGATGGAAAAAGTTGTGGAAGGAAGAAAAAAAATCCACCAAATCACAGAAGAGCATCTTGCATTTGCAGAACCTTTAAGCCACACAAGTCTAGAAATATATTTTGAGGAAAGAACACTACACACTCCTCTACAGAAGCCTGATACTAGCTGTGGCAGGAGAAAAAGAGTAGGCCAGATGGACGTTTTTCCTGACTCTATATGCAATTCTAGTTTTGTTAAACATAAAATTATGAGAATAAATATTGAATATGGAATTAATGATTGCTGTCCATCCCACTGTTAAAATACCAGAGCATCCCACAGGAAAAAAACAAAACCAGAAAAAATATTGCAAGATCATCTTATAGAAAAAGTAACCATAATAAACAAACACAAGTAAACTAGATTAAGATTACCAAAGGCAAACTAATATCTGATATTTCCAACATTTTTGGTATTTATCACTGTCACCTAAACGCTTCTTATACGCTTATAAGCATATATATGCGCTTATACATAGTTTTATTTGCATTTAGAAGTGATGCAATCTGTTAAGCACTCTAGAATCCCTAAAAGAAAAAACACACCATCACACATTATGTGGATATAAAGCTTCATAAAAAAAATAAAAGAAGCCTTAAAGTATATAATAGACTAAAAACCACAAAACACTCCATATTCACCAGAAGCTTAATTATTGTTCAACAGCAAAATTCTGTAGCAAGGCATGTCCATAAGAGACACCCCAAGGCGCTTTCACTGTTACCGTTGCACTTCGTATGCTCAACCAAGCACAACAATCTGGATCGAAGCCAGAGGATCACATGAAAACAACGTGAGTGGTGATGATGACTTTATAGGCACAGCACACAGTTCTCCTTCTTTTCACTCTGCAGTGCTTTCAATTACAGAAGTCACGAGCACTTCAAAGTGATTCTCAGTTCACATAGGAGAAAACAAAGGCTCCACGTACTGGTTTTGGTTGAGATAGAGTTAATTTTCTTTATAACAGAAGGTATGGGACTATGTTTTGGATTTGTGACCAAAACAGTGTTGATAGCATAAGGATGTTTCAGTTATTGCTGAACAGTGTTTACACAGCATCAAGGGTTCTTTTGTTTCTCGTGCTGCCCTACCAGCAAGTAGGCTGGGGGTGCACAAGAAGTTGAGAATGGACACAGCTGGGACAGCTGCCCAAAGGAATATCCCATACTATAAGAGGTTTTGCTCAGCAATAAAAGCTGGGAGAAACGAGGAGGAAGAGGGGATGTTCAGAGCAATGGTATTTGTCTTCCCAAGTAACCACTAGGTGTGATGAAGTCCTGCTTTCCTAGACATGGCTAAACATCTGCACGCTGATGGGAAGTAGTGAATGAATTCCTTATTTTCCTTTGTTTGCACATGCAGCTTTTGCTTTACTTATTAAACTGTCTTTATCTCAACTCACAAGTTTTCTCACTTTTACCCTTCTGATTCTCTCCCCCGTTCCACTGTGAGGGAGTGAGCGAGCAACTGTGTGGTGCTTGGCTGCCTCCTGGGGTTAAACAACACTCTAACATTAACTAAATGAACCAAGGTTACGTGTCAACTTAGAGATGGATGTTACAGTCAAGTTTAACAAACTGTTGTTTGCCCCTTTCCCACTGGCATCATTTGTTCTTTTCAGAGAAGCAGATACATTATACTACACACATTAACAGCAGTGTTTCACACAATCTAGAAGAAAACATTTGGAAGATCTCGTATTTCATTGTATCTTTTACGGCACACATTTGGATTGGATTTTGTTGTTTTTCTCCTACCATATTAAGTTTGTGAAATATAATACCTCTCCACGTGAACTTCCCTTCGAAGCCCTATTATTTGCAAGAGGAAGAGTTCTAGAAAGCTAGTTTTGCCTACCTGAGAATTCCTGATGATTATCTGGATAGCTCTGTGCTCTTGGCATCCGAGATCTGGGATAGTTGTCTCTAGAAGTGTAAAAACATACAGCATCTAAAAACTGCTGTTAATCTAGTACTTTAAATGTTTAATCTGTCTCACAATTCTTTATGACTGATGAAAAGCTATTGCTATACGAGTTGCTGCACCTCTTCTGTGGAACCTGATCTTGAAAATAAATCTAACAGGTATCAATAATCAAGATCAGTAACAATGGAGAAGCTTGCTTATTGAGCTTAATGTAGTCAGAAAGCAACAGGCTGTGTTAATGAGCGATTATATTAGTAAAACCACGAATTATCACAAGTAAAGCCACAAAGGAGCACTGTTATGTATAACACCTTTATGGCTAAACACAAAAGTTTATAGACTGGCAAAATCTCTTATACCACCTACAAAAACTTGAGGAAATTTAACCAAAGAAACACAGAACCTTGTAATGTCTCAAATTATTTCCTCTTCTCTCCATGAAAGTCATAGGATTAAGAGAGTAATTTTATTGAGTTACAGAATGATGAAGAATTTCTTGGTTCTTATATGATCACATTGTTTCTTACCTACAGTTGGTATGTAACTCCCAGCCACCAAAAGGAATGGATGGGATTGCCAGTCAGAGCAACCGATTACAGTATATTTCCATAAACATACCAAAACAATGTCCTCCTTTTTCTGGTAAGAATTTCTCTAATGGGTAACAGAAGCTAAATGGAGACACAAAACCTACATATTTGTAGGAAATATTTGAATGGGAAAAAAAAAAAGGAAAACACACTGAGTAGAGGTGACAAATGAAGTAAATAAAAAACAAGCAAAAGAAGTTTCGAAGAAGAAACATTAAGAGTTGAATTAAGATTCCTTTGTTTCCCCTTCTTCCACTCACCCCTACCCCACGAAAATCTAAAAATTTGGCAATTGGTGAATTTCTATCCTATGTAGCTACCTTCAACACTGTGTGTGTATACCCTATCACACTTCAACCATAAAACACTTTCCATGTCTATTATTTTCCTGTGAAATGAAGACTCACTATTTAACACAAAAATTTGTTACACCAAAGGTATTTGTTTCCTCAAATCACACATTCTCAAATGAAATGGTGCTACGGAATACTACAGCTTTGATTAATTGGTTTTCGCAATATTTTCCCCAACTTTCTACCTTTCTACCAATTAAATAAAATATTTAATTAGCAGTATTATTTGTATAGCAGTTCTAAATAAACAAGTAGCCAATCTGTGCAATGTAAGACCCAAGGTTATTTGCCTGACCACTATAGGCCAAACAGGACTATATTCTGTTTGGCTTACCTGGTGGCTGAGAAATTGTGGATAGTGACCCCCTCAAAACACATGGATCTCCTAAGAGGTCAGTCAAAACAGCTCTCCAGACTCACCACACTACACACTGCCTCTTGCTAACTGACAGGTCTAAACAAAGAAAAATAAGTGGAAAGTCTGCAATGGGAACACGGGGAGGGGAATGGACACTAATTGCAAAGAAAAGGAGGGGATTGTCTGTTGAAGTCTTTAAATGATTGTACCCTCTTCCTTGAATTGAGTACCCTCAGCCTTGGAAAAGGGAAGCTTACTTCATATATCTAAGAAATGTAAGTATGTAAGAAACACAGATTTGACGGGTGGCTCACTGCCAGAGAATACACTTCGCATATACGTAAGACTGGCAAAATTGAGTAAAAAGCTTCAGCACATTTTTGTAGGATCTGAAGCCTAAATTTCTGTGTTTCAAATGAAAATTATATAAAAAGCAAGCTACTTCTGTTTTCGATGCATTAGTAAGCAATTAAGTTTCAATAGACTTTTATAAATGTTCTATAGTTTACAGAGGAATTTCTGGAAGAAGCTCAGTAATAGTTGTCACTGGAGAGTTATCAAATGTTACAACTGATACATTAAGCAATCTAATAAAGATGAATAATGAATGTAAGTAATCTTTACCCATCTAAAGGACTGTCAAGTGAGGGGCAGCTTCCTGAGCCAGAGTTTTCAGGACTGCTCAAAGACAATGGATCCAGCATCTAATAAATAACAAACAGAGAAAGACCAACAAGTTTTAGGTTTTGGGTTGTTTAAAAAAATACTTGAAGGTTTCTGCTTTGAAACACCTAAAAAACCAAAACCAAACTGGATATACTAATTACTAGGGAAAAAGTTCACTGCCATGGTTGAACCTGCATTGCATTCCACAATCCTGAAAGTATTTGGTCATTTTTCTGGCATCTAACTAGAATACAGTTAAGGTATCCTCTTACAATGCTTTGTACATAAATTGTACTGCTACATTCTTCCTCTATGTGCCATTGTCTCTTAGTATTGCAGCAATATCTCATGAGAGTAGCTTAACAGAATAACAAAAATAAGGCATGTAAAGGGTAAAAAGCTGAGACAGTTTTAAAAAAAATGTGGATTTTGTTGTCATCAAAGGAAAAAAAAAATCTCAAATGTGACACAGATTGTGATGAATAACATTTATATAATCTTTGTAGTGGCTTAAGTTTGGCCAACTACCAGTCACAGAAAACAGCTGAAATCAAATACTGTAAAAAGCTTTTAAACATTTATTCCTAGTTAGGACTCCAAGCGTGTTACACAGATTTTTAAATTAAACTGAAGAGAAAATGGAAGGAGAAAAAGGGAGAATGCATAAAATTTATAAACTCTCTTTTCACCCAAACCAAAGTCCAAAAATTTATTTGGAAATAAACTTTCATGTGAAACTGGAGTTTACGAAGACACCAAAGCCAGATTCTTTCTTCCTAAAACACTTGTGATGACTGCTCATATGATGTCTATGGGCTGTGTGAAACCTGCCATGTATTAGTCTGAAGAAGTCATAAAACTGGCTATCTAGGCCAGATCTATTATATAATGAAAATAATCATCAACACTTCCTCTGCTTCTCAAATTCTAATCCGAAGAAAAAGAAACGGATTGATAATCAGGAGCATCCTCTTGAATACCAGATATTTCTATTGGTTAACATTTGTTTTGTTTATCTTGCACTACCACCCTTAAAAGTTCCCAGTTTAATGATAGGCAAACATCACTTTCTTCTCTTCTGCAGTAAAACAATCTGAAATATTTTTCAGATTTATTTTTTAGAAACAATCTAAATTGTCAATTATTGAATGTGACTATTTTACCAGCCTGCCTCTCAAAAACAGAGTGGAAAGCTTATCTGTTGTCTCAAAATGAGCTCCTTCCTAAAATAAAGTTTGTTTTGGCATACATCTATTTGGTAACATCTATTATTTTCTATGAATTGGATATCAGTCTTTTTCTGTAAATTAAGCAGTTACCCTCCAATTTTTATGGTCTGTGCTGCATCTTAAAGATCCTGGGTACATACTTTGCCAAGCATCAACCAAGGACTTATTAATAAGTAATAGTGTGCAGAAAAGTGAGTTTCCACTCTGAAAACTCAGACACTTAAACAGACTCTGTATTGGGGAGGATAACATTTACCATAGGTTCAGCAGTTATATTCCTCTTTTCCCATGCTGAACACTGGGTCCTAAGAGGGAAGAGAGCCCATCCGCTGCCATATTAATTACTTCTCTAACTTAATGCAGTGTGGCCCATCATCTCTTCTGTAGAGAAAGGGTGAGGGTCTGCTGTGAGTGCAGAAATAGCTGTGCTCAGGCAGATCAACAGGAGAGCAGAGCAAAGCCCTCCACTTCCAAATTCCCGACTTGTCTTCGTGAGGCAGGCTGTGACAGATGTAGGCAGCACGGTCAACACTTGCAAAGGCAATGTAGCAACTTAGGGGAAAGGCAGCAAACGGAGGTTGGGAGTTCCCAACACCTCCATCTGGCCCTTGAGGCTGCTTAGGTCGAACTGACCTGGCTTCCTATGAAAGTAAAATTCCTGTATTTAAACCCTGCTGACAGCTTATACAGCAACGCGCACACGACAGGTTACGTGTTTCTTGAACATTCTGGAGTGAAAAGACATCCCAGGCCTCAGAGATCATCTGTCTGTCTGACCAGTCCATTACCAAAAATTACTTTACCCAGGCCAAAAGTAATCCTTTCACTGAATGAATGCAGGCCTGGGCTGGATTTGACCACATGGTTATGATAATGAATAGCACCCCAGTCTAGAAATTAGGAGATTCAGTCTCTATTCCCACTTCAGTCATTAAAATTGTGCAACAAATTGCACAATCTCTCTGCCTCTATTTTTATTATATCATCTGTCTCTCATTTAGTCAGCTCATAAAAACCATTGCCTCTTGCCATTTGTGAATATAGTGCCAATGTCAACAAGAACTTGAAGTGATTTGGGTACACAGCATTATTTTTTTTTTCCTCCTTAAAATATCTCCTTCTCTTTTGCCAATTCTTCAGGCCTTTACATTCCTCCATCTTTTCCTGCTGTTTTTAAGGGTAATTTTGGTATTCAGAGACCAGGATTTTTATTCACGTTAAGTGTACTGACATCCCACACCAACAATGTAGGTGAAAAAGGAGCACGAGATAGCGTACATTTGTGATCCTCACACAAAAACGTGACCATGGAAAGTATTTCAGAGGCTATTTATACCAGGTCCATTGCCATCCCCTCACCTCTACACCAACACAGTATAAACTGTGTGGAAAAATAACCAAAAATGGGAGGAATGGAAGACGGCTGTTCCCCAAAGTTCAGCTTACATCTTAACTCAAGCTGTAATATTAGAGCAGCTTTGACACAAGACAATTGCTGCTCTGGGAAACGGAATGTGGTTAGCATGGACAAGGCCTACCTTGGCTGAACAGAACGTACAATGTCCTTGAAATGAGGAGCAGAGTGGTACGGAGGTACCACAGCTCATCCCTGTTACCAGGGATAGAGAACAACTGGCAAAGGTAACCACATAGCTTCCAAGGAAGATGGATCACCACTGCTGCCTCCACAGTGATGGTGAATGGAGTCGGGTAACGAAGACCTAGCTGGGCATTTACCTAGGCAATCTGGCCACGTCAACATTTAACCAGTTGCAAAATTCTTGTCCTTTAGGTAAACTTTGCTCATTACAATGTCATTATAATACCAAAACACACCTCCACCCCAAAAGCTACCTGCCTCCAGGCTGTGACCACCCCTCACTGAGTAGGCGCCCTGAAATTCTTCTAGTCTATACCTTTAAATCGAAGCGAGGAAAATTTACACCAATGCTGACAAAGGTATGCATGACTAGAGTCGCTCAAACTCCACCTGAAAGTATAAAAACAGCTTAAGAGAAGGAGATGTTGGGGGAAGATCTCCACTGGAACATCTGGGACCAGTTGACAGGCTGGACCTCTCTTCTCTCCCCCATAGGGACACATTGGGTAAGAGCTCTGAGTTACACGTGCTGAGTTACTAAGATCTTGCTAGCTATTCAGAATTATCACTGATAAGTTTTGTTTTCGCAGTCAGTATCTGTCACTGGCTATCTTCAAACCTGTATCCTGTCACGAGCGTATGTAATAAAGTTTGCCATCTATAAATATAAGTTTCTGGAAACTTCGATAATTGATACCGAGGTTATAAGGGATTTGTCCCTGTGCCGCTGCCTGTGAGAGTTCCTGAATAGTTTAGATGACTACCCTCTGACCTAGCGGGCTGTCCAGAGGGATTCATTTGTCCCAATGTCAGCCTAAGTTTGACATACTGGTAAAGGGTTCCAGGTAACCTTTTTGAGGTAACCTAAATGAGGGGTTTGTGTTTTCTAATGCAGACATCTCTTGCTGTAATTTATATGTATCACTACTTCATTCAACTATCATGGAAATTAAGAACATTATATTTTTCCTTGCAGCAGCATATTTAAATAATTGAAGAAACTTACAGAGAAAAATCAGGTTTTTCAAGACTAAACAATTACTTTAACCTTCTCTCACAGATCACGTATGCTAGGGTTGTCAAAATTTTTCTAGCTGTTCTTTCTAACAGCTCCGTATCCTTCTTGAACAGCAGTATTTCATACATCAACCTAACAAAAACTTATAATTTTAATAAATCACACACATACCTGATCCATACTTTCTGGAATGAATTCACCCTCACTGTTGATACTGGTGAAGGACCCGTTTCGGGCCACCTGATGCAGCTCATCTGGAATGTATCCTGGGGGAGGTGAACTCCTATCACGAGTATTTGAACCTTTTGAAAGAAAGTGGCTAGTTAGAGTCTCTTCACTAACCCAGAATCCAGGAGCTTTATTCAAATGCTTCATAGGCACTGAGCCTGCCTGGATCATTTCTTGCTTTAGAAGTTTCCCAAATGCATACGCAATACAAGACTTACGTATAGCATTAAAAATCTGTAATCCAAGAATTATGAGAAGTTTGGGGCAGGGCTGCCTCAAAGGCATTAAAAAGAATTTTCATTACATAGGAACAGAAACATAATTTGACTGCACCTCTAGCTAGGTAAATTTCTTCTTTTGAAACAAAATAAAAATCCAAACCCTTCCACCCACATCAAGTAATCCTTTCCAATATTTGAGAATTTCAGTTTTTCTTTGTAGAATATTACATCTGCAAGAACATCAATACCTTTATTCATAATAAATGCATAATAAATTGTCTGAAAAAAATATTTATTAAGCTTTCTAGTTTCATAATTAAATTTGGAAGTTAACATTACACCAACTTTAAAACATGCATAAGCAAAAAGGTTATATCAATGCCAAAATTAACAAATGTTCACACATTAAGATTAAATAAATATGAGAGTCCTAAACTGAGCAAGGAAATGCACTGCCATATAAACAAACAGATCTTTCAGTAACTCACTCCTCTACCTGAAAATAAAAGGGAGTACTAACATCAACTTTTTAGGATATCTATCAGTTACCTCAAATAATTCTATGTAGATTTATTTACTTGTGATTTTTTTTGGTTAATTTCCTGTACTATATATACCTAAACCACCTCTGACTTAATATTCAAAATCCACTCCCTCGAGTGCAAATTCTATAGTAGAGCCACTGATAAGAAAGAGAAATTTCAACAGTCTCTGTTGAGGGCAAGATCTTCATGAAGAGAACATTACGAAAGAAAAGTTTTTTACAATTAAAGCTATCAAAATATGCAGCTTACCTACTACAGAGAGTCGCTTTTTTCTGTCTGCCACACCAAGCACTGTATTATCTAAGTCTTCCAGTGAGGGCAAGGGTTCCACGTTATTTACACTGGGTGACTAAAATTACAAACTGCAGTTATGACTTCATACTCTTAACAATGAAAATATGTTGCAAACTTTATAGGCTTTGTGCAGCATACTCCTGTTTTCAAGCAGTCGAAAAGAAGGTTGCCAATTTATATCAAAATTCACCTATTTCAGTAGCTCACTCTTCATATTTAAAAATAATTTTCAGTATGTGCTAGTACACAAAACCTATCAACACCATGGTTTTGAGGCGTCAGACACCAAGTTATTTTGGTATTATTTAGCCTATAGTCCACTGCTACCATTTGCTACAATAAACACTTAACTTGCCACAAAGGAGTGTCACCAACATTCGACTTAAAAGAACAGTCTCAAATAACTGCAGTTACTTAAACTCTACGCACTCCTCACATTTGTATCACATTATCATCCTATTAAGGAACACTATTCCACCACTGCAGGGAAGGCGATCAAAGAGGGAGGAACACTACCCAGGAATAAGTTAAAACCGAGTCAATACAAAACGCTAATAGATGCTTAAAGTGAACTGAAGAAGCAATCAGTAATATTTTCAATTTGAAAAATGTCATCTTTAAGCAAAGATACAAATTATACTTCGGTATGAAAACTGAGAAAAAAGACATTTAGCATGTCAACTCATACCTGTGTATTTCCATGTATTACAAGCAATATCTTGAGACTCTTCATATGAACACTACGGTCAAGCAGTTCAACAGCTTTGTCCAGGTCATCCTGTGTGGTTAATGGAATTACAAGCTACAAAAAGGGAAAAAAAAAGAAAAAAAGTCTTAAACAGGACACAAAAGAAATAAAGAAGTGCAGAGAAACAATAAACTGATGCTATCTTTCATTTCAAACAACTTGAAAATAAAATTTATTAAATGATGTCTCAAGTTAGCACCAGAATATCTGAAGTTCAACCTTAACTCTTCCTTCAGATGCCTTCAATAGGTACAGCATGGTGGAACAAGTCTTCACAATGAAGGAGCAAACATTTTACATATGTACAACTTCATATCCTAAAAGCTTCAGAGAAACATGTGCAACACTGTCAATGTATTTGCCACCGTCTAAATTAAAGCAAGCCTACAAGAAATAAAAAATAAGCCCTATTTTATAGAACATAAAGTGTATTTTTGTATCTCTCAATATTACAACTATATTTGTTTGAAGTTGCATCACTAAAAGAATTTCTCCACTTAAAACCAGAATTTGTTAAGGAAGTGTACCAGGCTTGATGTGATCCACATCTGTGGAACAACTGTAGTCCTCACTAGAATATTACTTGGATCTAATTAATTAGAATTAAGTTGGCATACATGTGTCTTTAGAACAGAAAACGTTATGCCATTTGAGTGCATTTGAGATCTGAGTTCTACAACGATTAGAAGTGGGCTTATGTTTCAGGATTATAAATTACAAATTCTGCTTGTCACAAAGGAACAATGCAATATAGATTTTTAAAAATCTATTCCACTTGTAAACAGTCTCAGTACTGCTCAAATACAACATCAGTTAAATAAAGTACTTTTATACAAAAAGAAATGGGAATGAGGGAGAAAGGTCTTGACAAACTCTTGGCATACTCTTATTTATAAGTTGCAGTTTTAATGACAACGACAGGCCATTACGATCACATTTCTGAAAGGCGATGGGATGATTTGCCAACTAGTGCAGAAGTCAACAAGCTGAAAACCTGTTCAAATTCCTAAAAATCTACCATAGGAAGGAGGTGAGGCTAAAGCACCATGAACAGTCATTTCTTCTGACCTTCCTAATTTCCAAAAGCCTTCTGATGGAATTCTTTGTTTTGAAGGTCAGTTGCACAGAAGTGCTTGGTAATGCAGGGAGTAACCAACGAAGAGCAATCACAGGCATTTTCCTCTGCAAAGACGCTGATGAGACACAGCAATCATGTTGTGCATAACCCAGCACATGAATAATCCTCCATGCACTTCGCTGACTCAAGGCAAAAACCAGAAGTAACTCTTAAGAATGAGTCCTGCATCTGTAAATATATTTGCTATTAATAATTCCGTCTCTACTTCTGAAGGAAAGCTGGAAGTAATATTGATTAGGCATAAGTGGCTTGACAGCGCTAGTATGGTTCCCAAGAAATCTTTGTGAACCAGTCACTTTAAGAGGAACAACAATTAAGCCTAGTTCTCCAATCTAAATATTACTAAATGCAGCATTCTAGTGATTATCTAACAAGAATAATCCTTAAAGAAGAAAAAAGCATACAAGAAAGGATAAATTTTATTACAATTTACAAACACAACAAAGCTCAAAGAGGTACAGACTTTCCCAAAGTCACGCAACAGGACCGTGGCAGAGCAGGAAGACAATTTACTCATTCCCAATCAAGTCTGAGACATAATTCATTAAGATATGACTCTTTTCATAAAGCATTTCATGCAGCTCTTACCTACCCTCATTTAGACAAGCCTTACATATTTGAGAACACACACATTAGAAATCTGGAGTTTTGTCACAGGAGTGGTTCTCACTGCTTGTGAGAGCAAATTTCAGCCTTAAAATAATCAATGTACAAGTCACTGAGAATTTAGAAGACACAGAACATTACCTCATTATTGCTGTAATGTAAATCCATAGTCTGTCCAAAAGCAACTTTAGCTTTAGCTGCAAGATCTTCAAGTTTAACAGGCCTTGGTAATTGCAGAATCCTGAAACACAATTTAAGTTATAAAGAATTTTTGTCCATTACTGATGAAAATCCAGCAACTCATTACTTAAGAATGATCTTAGAATTAAATTTATTACTAAAAAGACCATAAGAGGCTATGCTTTATTCACTGTTCTCCATACTGAGTCATTAAAAAAAGAGAAAAGCAGTGAAAAAGTTATAAAGGATAATCATGCCTAAAATCAGATCTCATTATGACTATTTTACTTGCTTGCATATGGCTTCTTTCTTAACTTAATGCTTTGCATGCCTCCATTCCAGAGGCAAATTCTTAGAAACATCTAAAATTTTCTACTTCAGAAAACTAAGACAATGAAGTACCATAGGCTGACAAGCATAAGCATCAGAAAGAAATCACTTCTACAGTCCCCGTTTGTTGGACATCCAAAAGACTGTCTTATCTGAGGAAGGTAACTCAATGTCACCATCTTTACCATCATGAATGACACGCTCAAACTGCTGAGTGCATCACTAACTGTGCTTCAACTACGTCCTGGAAGAATGGCGCAGCTGCAGGTCAACAACTCAGATTTTCTTTTAACTCAATGTCTCATCAAACCAAATAGCCCAAAATGTCTCTAACTGAACTTTTACTACAGAAAACTACTCTATTATTTGAGACCCAACGCCATTAAACAAAAGAAAAGTTTTTAGATGCGATTAAGCTAGTGAGGTGCATTGAATTCACACTCAGAAAAGAAATAGAACTCAAATTTTGTGAAGCAGAAAAATTAGCAAAGGGTAACTGTTCCTTTTATCAGTGTTTCAGTTGGTACACGGGTTAGGGAACAATATTTCTCACTGAAATGAGGCCAGAAGTCAGGCCACTTCCAATCAAAAATTATTTGAAAAAAATAAATCTTAAAAAAACCTCAAAACCTGAACAACCCAACACCAATTCTCACTGTAGTTAAGAATTTGTTTAGCAAGCCTGGAACTCTACCCACCACACTGCATGCTCCTTGGTACAGACTGTTACATTCACTACTGAAAGAAACTCTGGAATCACTTCTCTTTTCCACTTCCCTTCTTAAATATTAGTGAGAATGCCATTGCGTAACTTATTTTTCTTGCATAATTTCATTATGTTATCTTTAGATCTCCTTGCTCAGGCAACAAATGCATAACTCATGCTGAGCAATAAGCATGGGCTGTCCAGTACCCCTGGGCAAGCAGGCTCACGTTACTCGAGACAGTCCAAAACTGAGCTAGGCCCATCAGCCCAAAAGCCTGGGAAAGGTATCTTTCTACACACCTACTTTATGCTTGTGTTCATATTGAATTAACTTACTCCACGGTGAAAGCGAATCAAGATAAACTGCAAAAAAGCACTATCCATGCAGACTGGCAGTGAGTAAAAAGTTCTGTTTTCAATTCGTGCTTCCGCTTATTTCACCAGAAATTGCTAGGTAGAAGAGCCCTCGATTTTCAAAGCTTTTGAGAAGATTTATTTCTTTCAAATTACTTGCAGCACTCAACCATTACCGATGCACTGTTACATGTGATGTTCAGAAAAGTGATAGAAAGAAGCTGAAGAATTACTTAACTAACTTACTTACTGCTTAATACATAGTTACTTAACTTAATACTTACTTAACTTACTGCTGTTTCACTACCCCACGTGAAGAAAGCGCTCATACTGTAAGAAGCATGGATACGCGCTGATCTACTGCCCAACACACCACGGGCTGCCCAGAAGTAGCAGAGGTTTCATTCTGAAGAAATCTTTACTTAAGGAATTTACCATTTCTATTGACTAATAGTGTGACCAGGATATTATTTCCTTTTTCATTAAGTATTTTCAAAGATCTTGCTCTATAACTATGTCTCTGTAGGTACAATAAAGGTTTATGCTTTCAGAAAGAGACAGACAAAACGAGGTGTCCACAAACCAGTTCTGCACACAATTGTAGATGGACTGCTGTAAAAGTTTTTGAGCAGCCGTCAGAGCAAAGATGTATAGAGACAGATGTTTGTTTACTTTAAGCATGTACATCATTCAGCTCTCATACACAAAATGAAAATAAATTTTTAACTGATGATTCAAAATCATCAATGAAAACAATCTAATTGTAAAGTCTAACAAATTTTCCCATTACGGTTCTCAGATTGGTTCTTCCAAAGTACAATGCAATATTGAGCTTTAAGATTTAGGCTTCTTCCTCTAGGTGTTACAGTAACAATATATTACCATGCATTTATTACGCACATGATGCAGCAAAAACTATTTGCTGGTCTACTCATATTTGTGATCTATGCTAACAATCCAAGTAATTGTTCTAGGTTACAAACATCTACCTGAAGGTAAACAAATAAGGGACACAGGGACAAAAGAGGGACATTTACAAGGGACATAGCTACAGTAAGATAATTCTGCATTTATATATACTTGGAGCCCATATTTTAAACAGATTAATTCTCCTTAAATTGTGTTCATATCAAAATTAAATTTAAGCTCAAACCAAATACATGTCAATATCTGAAACACTTCAAACAGTTTATTTGAAACTTTATGATAGGAGACCAACAAAATTCTATAAATAAAAGACGAGACTGTTTCCTGTGTTCCCACCTTACCTTTTTTCACCTCTATGTTCAAATTTGACTCTAACATCGTTCTGTAAGAAAAGAGATTAAGGAACCACAATTAGTTTGTTACTACTTCCTTTAATGACGGCCATGAAATCCCATTCAATAATCCTACACCAGAACTAAAATCCTTAAGCAGTCATATTAATTTTCTGTCCTTTCTGATACACCAAGCATTTTAACAACCTACTTCAGCTGAGGTATCTGACAGAGGCTTGAAGTGTGTAAAAAATACAAAAAATTATTCTAAGTATAATGAATGTTTCTGTAAGTAAACACAGTATCTTCTATAACTACACTTGAATATTATAGCAGATTCACGACTTCAGTGTGGAACTGATTACCAAAGAATTCTCCATCACGAACGAACAGGTAGACTTAGGTACCATAATGGGTTTTTATGTTCACTTTGCAGCTGAGCATTCCAGGCCCAAGAAACATATCTTGTTTCATAAGCATTACCATAGAAACCCACACACGTAACTAAGCCAGCATTCACGCAACCAGTTTACCAACAACAAAGGTACCTGTAAATATCTGCAGTTACAGGGAAATAAAACTGTCTTGCAAAATAATAATTTTAAGAATCAAATTGTATTAGCAACTATTGCAGGAAAAAAAATAGTACGTTCAACCATAGAGATTATATCCAAAAAACAATATTGTATCTTCCAAAATAACTGCTTGATTCACAAGTGATCACATTCAAAATTCACAAATTTAAACAGAATGACAAACATGTATTTCCCCCTCACAACTACCACGTTCAAACTCAGAAATAGCTCAACTATTTTTTTCCTTTAACTTTCTGAACACGTATTATATTCAAATAATTTTGGATCACATATGCACATTACTTCAGTGTCTAAAGCCCCAGCTCAGAAGTGAGTTATGCGACACCAGCAAAGCGCCAACGTGTTATACACTGAACTGTCACAGCTTTTAAAGCACAGGATGAAAAAGCTGTAGCAATCAGTTTTTGACAGTTTAAGAGCCACCATCAGTTTTTGACAGTTTAAGAGCCAAATATATTCAAATACTATGATCTTTAACAGGTTAAAACAAGACTGCACCAGACGAAGTTTCAAGAAATATTGGACTGTCAATTAAGGATCCAATCAAACATACAGTTAATTCAATTTGGGTAAAAATCCACATCCTCTCCTCTCCTAATCTCTCCATAGAGTAGTTCAAACCTATCAAGTAAGTATTTACTAATTTTCCACCTGTGTTCAGTATCTGCAGAAGAAAAACAGAGTTGAAAAGACCTCAAATTTCCAGCATATGAACATACAAAAAACTGAGGCCAAATATGCAGTAAAGGAGCTTAAGTACATCTCTGCTGTTGTACTGACATTCTTTAGTATGACACAGCTGACAACAGGGCAATCTAGTATACCTAGAAAATTCATTCTAAAGAAGCATCCCAAATAAGAGATGCTAGCACACCGTAACATTTTAAAATAGTCTAGTACCAATGTAATATTAATAAAAATAATAATAACAACAACAACAACATTATACAGTGTTAAAACACCCTATGATCTTCCATTTATCAGGATCAGAGTCAGTTAGGCATACACTATCATCTGGTCTGAAATGCCACCATTTCATCATTTTGCTGCTAATTTAAGAATACAAACAGAGAAAATGGCAGCACACATGGGAGACTAATAGCTCGTTCTGGCATGCCCACTGGTCTGGCAAGAAAAATAATTCTAGAAGTCACAGCAGGACATTCCATGTTCAATAGGTTAGTAAGGATATTAAAGATTACCTGTTTCTTAGGTGAAGATGACTTTGGCTTTCCTGATTCTTGCTGAGGCAATACAGGACGACTGGCCTTATGAAGCACAGCCAAATCCTGCATGATTGAATTCAAAGCTTGCTGCTCATCTGCTCAGAGAAAAAGACCAGATAAGAGAAGTGTAAATGACTGCTACATTTGAAGTGCATTACTGTGTCATTTCACAACCAAGCAGACTTTATTCTAAAATCTAAAAGTCCACATTATACTTCAATACATAAATGCCAAATTAAAAAAAAAAAATACTGGCGTGTTGCAAACATTTTTATTTTCTTTATCATGAACAGTGCTTAAAGAAATAAAAAGCTTAATCGCACTAAACACATTTAAATGGCAGGTTCAAAAAAACTGTTGTGCAGGCTGTATTAATAAGAGAAGGGTCAGGGGAAAAAAAGTTTATCTACTTTGTTTCAAATAATGTCCACAGATGCTAACTAGAATTCATACTTCCACATCCCCATCAAATTCTTAAAAGAAAAAAAAAGAAAAGCAAGTACTTTTGAATAACTTTTCCTGTCCTAAACAGGCATGGTCATGCACATAGGAAGCACACACAAACTCCTGAAGGAACACCTCCACTGTTTGAGCATGTGCTAATGGCCCACAGGGTAATTTAAAAACAAAACACCACAGAAATTTTCCAGGAGTGCAAGGTAGAGTTTTTTAGGGCTTACAGGAGTAATTCACAAGGAGAAACAGAAGCACTAAACCCAGGGGACAATTTAGGGGCAGGAGTTCACACAAAATCCTAAATCCTGATGACCTGCTTCAGCTGTGATGGCCTGAGGCCATGCTAGACAAGGTTTGCCCTGGAACTGGGATGCTCCTTTAGAAATGAGAGCACTTAGGAGCTCAAAAGCCTGTACATCCATCACTAAGGGAAATTTATTTGTCATTAATACTTTGTATTAATTCCTTGCCACAGCAACAGCACTATACTCAACACACATCTAGAACACCGGACAAATTTTGTTATCTGCAAAGGTGTTGATTGCAGGCCTTCACACTGCTTCACAATGGATATATGTTTGTTGAAGAATTCATTGCTAAGTGCTGTGATTTACAAAGAACAGTATTTCTCAAACCTGGACCTGAGAAAAACTCAGCATTAAAATCAGCAGGCAAGCATTCCAGGTATTCAGCAATGATGAAAATTCCTTCATGCTCTATTCAAGTATAACCAAATGTATTTGTCATATCATGAAACTCTGGGATTTCAGTGTTCTGATTTAATAGATTCCTAACAGATCAGAAAGCCAGTCTGAAAATGAGTAACTTTGATCATCACTCATGCTGTCATTATTCATAACTCTACAAAGATATGCAAATCTATAAAAGCAAGTTTTACTGGCAATATCTAATGGCAGAACTGAAAGTACTCTTGCAGTACACAGTTATTCCTTTCTCACACTTCAAAACTTGCCACAATTAAATAAGTTAACTGTTTTATTGTGTTATAGCCTATTTTAGTGCTCAGTAATAAAAAAAAAATATTCTTTTAGCAATTGGTTGAAGGATGTTTAATTCCCAGTGGTCACTAGGTAGCATATACATACACCATACAAAGGAAATTAAAGCACTGTGGCAAAGCATCTGAAGTTTACTGCATATCCAGTGTGACTCGATAGTAATTTCTCTCACACGAAATGTTGAAGAATATCAGAAATCTAGAGAGTGCTGCATTCCTATATTCAGCTACTTTATTATTAAGCATGAAGTTCAGAAAAATTAGCATAACGATAAAAGATAAACAAAAGCGATACAAAATGTGTGTGTTTTGGTCGGTTGGTTTGTTAGGATTTTTTTTTTTTTGAGAGTGACCACTGATAAGTGATTACAATAACATGATCAACTCATTAAACATCAAATTTAAAGTAACATAAGTGTGCTGTGCTACATATTTAGAAAAACACTGTTAGACCATCTACACAGTCTGGCTTTGCACGGTAATGACACATGACAACATGACAAAATTCTTTATCATACACTTTGTGGGTTTTTTCCCCCCTCAATAACCGTTACCATTTAGAGCACAGTAAATATCGCTCAGTACCCTAATACCATGAATCTCAATCTCCTATACTTGGATATTTACCACATAGTGAGGGAAAAGTGCTACAGTCCAACAGAAAAAAAAAAAACACACAAGTATTTTGAATACTAGCAAAACAGCTGAACACTGCCTTTCATGTAGACATCACACTGAGGTACACAGCCAAAGCATACATTTCCTAGGAATGGTATTACATTCATGCTTTCCATCTTCAATAGAAATGAAAAGTATCTAATTTAATTTTTTATATATGTTACACACAAGACTTACCCATAATGGCAGTGAGCCTGAAAGCCTGAACTTCAGGGAAATGGTTGCTTCATTAGCATTATTTTGTCTCCTAAAATGCAAACCCCAAACCACACAATTACTGAAGTTGTCAAAGCCATGTAAAACAGTTAACTCTTATGGGCAGTTTTTCTAACATTCTACATATCAAATATGCATACAAACTACAAATAAGATTGCTATGACGTGGAAAAAACAGGTGTTGCCCCCATAGCCTCACTGGCCTCTGAGAAACATACTCAGATTTTCAGAAGGCACAATGCCTGAACTAAATATTCTTCCAGACTTAAGCTGATTTTAGTCTCCAACTACACCCTCAAATGATGATTAATAGCTTAATTAGCCATAACACTCTGCTACATGGAATACCCACTACTCCAGATTATTAAAAATCAAGTCTTTTTCAAGAGGTTCCTGTATCTGGTGTTCAAAGTTCCATGTTCAGAACTACACATATATATATTTATATATAGTTCATGTACATAAATAGATATGAAACTCACAGCACAAATCAAGAGGCATCAATGCCTACTGACTATATGAGCTAGAAAACTTCAATTGGTAAGTTTTTTCATTATAATTCAAACCACTACACAGATATCCCAACACCTCTGAAAACAAATGCCTCTGGAAGACAGCACGAATTAACTTTTAACATACAATATACAAGTAATCCAGAAAAGCAGAAACATGGGGACACATTTATGAACAATCCCTATCGCAGTATCTTGAACATCAATCAACTGAAAAAAACCCCAATAATTAAGGACCAATTAAAATAATCTATGAAATGCTACAGTGGAGCTTAACAGCAAAAAAAACTAAAGACATATCCCTAAATAGACAATGAGATTTGCTATAATACAGGCTACTATAGGAAGAATTCAGAATTTTTAATGCAAGATAATAGAAGAAAACTCTCTAACTTATGCAATCACTGTGACCAAGCAGGGAGAGACTATTCCCTCCTCCCTTTTCCTGGCGGCAGTGGACCATCCATCCTTCTCACTGAGAGCCAAAAGATCCACCTGACTGATAAAACAGATTATTTCCCTTCAAGTTCAATTAAGGAGCTGCACTAACAGAATATGACTTTGGGTTTTTTCTTTTTTTTTTTTTTTTAAACAGAATTTGTTTTCTCATGGTTTAGTTCCTTACCAGTGTCAAACGAGCCCTGATGCCAGCACAGGGCCACCTGTGGGAGTACACCGCTGAGAACAGAGGGGAGGTGGACCAGCTCTTTCAGCATCGGCCAGTCAGGCTTCCTTACCTGAATATTCTGCCAATTTTCTAGCTAACAACAAATTAATTACAGTTTTCCAAAGGATTTCTGAGGATCTTCAATTCGGCATCTAAGAGTTTCTGGCATCATCTCTCTTATACGCTCATTTCATGAAAACAGCCTTTTAAGCAGCATTCATTTCATCAGTGGAACTGGAGAGCTTTAAGTACTTCTGGCATATTTTCCAGAATGAAGTTTGGTCTTGAGAGCCATACAAAGCTCTCTGCCGTATATTGCCTTTTACCTACTTGTCAGATGACTCATCTACTATTGCCTATTTCAAGCTCTATGATAACAAAGAAGAGATCAGGCTTTTAAAGAAGATCCAGAGGTCTCACTCTGCAACCAGAAATCAGTTCTGTTGAGAGGGGCACGCAAAAGAGCACATTAGAACTAAAACAAAGCTGAAAACATGATCCAAGTGTATTTAGAGTTACATTCTCCCAAGTCTAGGGACAGCCTCAAAACAGTACCTGAAACAGCCTCCAAGTGTTGTAGGAAAGAAACTCCCATCTAATGTTTTGCAAAGTATTAAAGCATGCAAGAGCATGAGAAGTTTATCTGGCCTGGGCTGCCTGCAGTCTCAAGACACAATCCCAAATTTTACTATTAACATGGTCTCCAGCCTCTTGGTGCCACGACAGGTGGAGACAGAAAAATCTGTTTCAAAGAAATCAAGAAAGAAAAATCTTCTCTTACTCCAGAACACAAAAGGAAAATCGTGAAGACACAAAATAAAGGGATTTGTATTAACCTTCAGAGAGGAAAACAGGCTGAATTTTCACTTACTTGCTGAATAATAGTAGCCAAGATCACTCAAAATAAGGACAGAATATTTGGGCCTTGCTCTCAAATAAGATGCCAGGAGATCTGGTTTACTTACTGAACTGGGATTACCTTTATAGCCTTAAGTAACACAACTAACATTTTTCCCCCTCATGTCTGATTCTTTGTGTCTTTTGCATTCCTAAGAGTCAAAAAAGCAAAACAGAACATATATTCAGATATTGCCTACGCTATGTTTTTTTGTATCAGCAGTAGTCTTGCAGGATCTTCCATAGAATTATACACTAAAGCGCTTATAAAACAGTTTTTTAATTCCATATTTCAGCCAACTGTCTTAAAATGAAAGTTAGTGTCATTTTCATAAAACGGTTGGTTTAATTAGCTGTCTTAATACATTAAACACAAAAACGCGTTTCATGACTTTGGATTAAGTACTTCTGTAATACTTTCTTGCAACCATTTTGAAGAAATACAAAAGGTCTGTAAGGCATTTTAAATCTCCTACCACACTTTAAGAAAACAAGAACAAGTTATATCTCCAAACAAAAATATCCCAGATGTTCTTACTCAACCTAGCTGAAATAACCAAACTTGGAAGCTCAAGATATTTGAGCTACAGGGTTCATATAGGGCAGGCAAGCTGAAGAAGAAACA